AGGATTAAAAATACTACAACTAACTAAGGGTAAAAATGGTTACTTCTGAGTATGCTTGATTTTCCCTTGATGCCATGGGTGAAATTGCCTGTTGTTCACTGCTGTGGAGAAATGAGGCTACAGGTGACTGAAAACTTAATGACAGCCCTGTGTAACATCTATAGCTAAAAGCCTTGTTTAAAATACATACGTTCAGCATTGTTTATGATCTGATGTAAAAAGTATGCTCCATAATTGTTTCATTTGTTCAATATTTATGTATTGGTTGATATACATTTGCCTTTTAGGTGAAACAAGCTATAGATGAATGTTGGTGTTGGACGGAGAGGTGATTCCAGTCCCACGGACAGTGGTATAGACACTAGGGAGTGGGAAGAAAATCATAGAGGTTTGTAACTCAGTGCAGAGTCAGTTAGCAAAAATTGACATCTGTGGCTCAGTTACGTTAAATTTTTCTAAGAAATTAAATGGCAAGCTGAGTCACATGGCTCTTTTGGAAAATCCCACAATCTTACAAGTTTAGAGTGACCAACAAAAAACTTTTAGTCAAATGAAATGAAACAGATGCCGAGTATATTGAACCCCAGCTTCACCAGTGGTGTACAGTGATGGGCAAATTTATATCCAACAAAATGCTATAATCGAGTTTCAACATCTTGACAATGCAAGTTGTAGTATTAAGATTCGCATTTGTCTAAACTGATTTTTTTCCATTTGCTATCTTTCCAACAGAACCAAGAATGGTATGTATAGCTGTAATTGTTTTGCAATTTTTATTTACATGTATATATTTTTGGTCTCTAAATATGCAGTACATTTAATTTGAATTTAAAGGAGCTATGTGACGGTTTGCGCTTCTGGAAAAGTTTATCCTAAATTTTTCAAGTTCATTGTTGAGGCCTTCCATGGGGGATAGCGGTGTCGTAGGTTGCATCCTTGCGTGTACCAATGTTGCGTAACCAGGAGAAGTAAATTCAGCTGTCGTTCTTTTGCATAAAGTGATATGTCGCTGTCACTAGCAGGTTTTTTTCTTTGTAGCGTACTAACCCTCTAAAATAACGCAGCTCGTTGTTCAATCATTAGTTTTTCAATGTTTACATTCGTCGTCTCTGTTTCGTGTCATTTATTATCACATGACTATCACGTGATTGCGTTTCTATTAGTATGCATGTATGTAGATTCCTTTCGAAGCTTTGAGGCACATATCGGTCTTTATCGGCTCCAAGTTTATATAATTATTTTGAAGACTTTACTTGAACTCTATTTTCAAAAATAAGAATGGTTCAGAAAGAGTGCAAGGAAACGGCCTAAAAACAACTGGAGCAATTCAATCCAGAATAAGAATCACAACTTCCTTTGGCACATCAACACTACAATTTTTGGTGTAGAGAAAGATGTTGTTGTCTGTTGTACAATAAATGTTGATCTTGAATAAATGAGACTCTTGTTCATTTTGGACTATGGTAGAGGAAGAGACACCTCATTTACTCTTAGGTAGAGGTAACAACTCTGAGACAGAAAGATGACGAGCTTTGGAATTTGTGGAGTCCAATTACTAAACTTGGCTTTACTGAGAGAACAGTCTGATTTAGGCTTATATCTTTTTTTACCGTTTTTTTTTTTTTTTTTCGGATTTGTGTTTGTGCATCTCCATTCCTTTTGTGTCTTTTCCCATGGAGAGAAAGAAAAATCGGAAAAACCGTAGCTAACTGAAGCCACTGACAAGTGATCACTAGTTTGTGAAAAAAAACCAGGAAGATTTTTACTATGCTGTTGATTAGCTCTGATAGATCAGACCAGACCAACTCTGACAGCCCTGACCTGGACGCTCACTTGCCTGCAGTGGAGACGACCCAGTCATGAGGGTTCAGTCAGGCAACTGTCGCGCCATATGAAAAACCAAAGGTCACCAATACGGGCAATTTGAGAGTTTCTAGTTACCAGGCCAACCATGTGTTACTTTTTTTGGAATATTCACACAATGTTTATTCTTTTGGAGCGTGTTCATTGGAAAAGCAAACAAGTTTCTGACATTTACAGCTTTTGTAAAATAAATGCAATTTCTACATATGAAAAAAAAAGTCTAAAAGGGTCAATGTTGCTGTCTTTTCTAGTGCTTCTTGTGTCACTGTTGAATTTTAGTGGTGCATTCAATTCACTGGTCACTGATTAGAAAGTCCCATGTGGCTGGTTTTCAGGGTCGTGTCGCTTTTTGCTTTTACCAGTCAAAGGCCTCATTGTTTGTAGTCCGTGTTAACCTTCTCCAGCCTTAACCTTCCTTTTTCCTTTAAGGTCTACTGTAATTGTCTGTAATGTTTCTCTTTTTTTTAGTAAACTACTAAAGGTTTCCTTCAATGTAAAGGCAATATAATTTATTATGCGTGGCCAAAATAACTCAAAATGTTGTGACTTAGCTCCTTTAAATAATATCTTCAATAGAGCAATTATTATGTGTAGTTATGAAACATTTTTGGTAAAGTTTTAATTGCTTTTGACTCATTATACCTCAAGTAACAGTTTTATACACAAAAAATAAAATAAATAAAAAAGATCAAAATTACATAAAATAAAGCTATGATTATGAACTCCTCTAGGAGGGGGTAAAACTGCTCAAAACGTCTCCAAAATGTTACCTGTATCTCGTGGAACCAAAACTTTGTGTGGGACTGGTAATTCAATGTGTCAGCATTGTGTGGCTGCTGTATTGCCCTCATAGTACCTGTCTGTCTGCCGAGGAATATGAATAGTTATCTTGCTAATGGACAACTTTGCAACCATCCCATTCCTTCTAGAGGGAATGGCAATACCCCTAGGTACATGTACCTTTAAGTTATTATAAATGGTTTCTGGAAAAAAGAGTGTAGGCTAATTATTACTGTGCTAATGAGCTTCTGGACTTTGTTTAAATTATCTGAATCAATATTTGCCAATGATAACCATTGGAACTCCTTTAATGCTTGTCCAGTCCTTAGATCCTTACAACTTTGGAACTGACAGTGCCTGGGCTAGTCGAAATGGATCAGAGTCTAAGAAAAAGTAAGTCAGGGAAAGTTGTATTCAACAAGGGTGGTTTTAAGCTGGCTGACAAACGAAAGAAGCGGAAAACGTTTTTCTCACGCACGGCTGGGAGTCTGAGTAAAAGTGTGCAGGGGGTTTTCAAGTCACGTGGCTTGTGTAAGGTTCAGTTTTTGTTTTGCCATCCGCCATTGTGTGACATGCCCCACCCACCCATGAATTATTTTTAGGACGTATTAATTTGAAGTGAAATTATTCTCTAGCCAATTTTTTTGTGTCACTGTAAGACAGCTATGTTCTTATGCTAGTAAAGGTCAGGCTGCATGGTTCAGCTTAGCATGGCTCCCAGTGGTGTGTGAGAACTTGTGTTTTAGTTACATTTTGTATATCTGGTCCAAAGCAGCCTAGGCTTGTAGAAATGTTCTTTGATAACATACAGATTTAAAGTGTTGTTGACTTTTCAGCTTTAAGAGAGCTGAGACTGTGATTGTGAGACTATATGATGATACCAAGCATTGCCAACTTCTGTGACAAAAATTGCCCGGTTGCCCAATTCAAACGTAAATCTTTACATGTGTCAAACCTAATGATGTTATCAACGAAGTAAAGTTCAACGTCTCAATCAGTTACAATCAATACATTGGTATTCAGGTCAACCTTGCCGTCCATTCAACTGGCACAGTTGCCTTTGACATTTGAACAAGGCATAATATATTATGATAATTATTTTAATTTTGTAGTTGAACTCAGTTTAACAGAATTAACAGCAAAGAGCACCAGTCTTGCCTTATGAGCAGCAGGCTGCATTGTTGGTATCTGTGCATGCGCAAGAATTTCGTGTGCTTTTGATCAATTAATCCATCTGCTTTATTTTCAAAAGGAAATTAAGAAATAAACTTAACTTCTCAACTTATTGTAATTTTTATCATATTTTATATTTAGTATTTTTAGTGATTACTTTGTAATTTTTTCTTTTGTGTTCTAATTTTAGATGATTAGCCCCAAAAAGCCCCCATGGGTAGTATTAATAAAGTTTGTATTGTATAGCAGTGCAGTTTTTGAAGTACGTACTGTAGCAATACAACTCATTTTTGTGGATAAATGAAGAATTTTTAATTGGAAGGTAGCATAATTCATTAGAATTCTATAACTTTCTAGAGTCAAGAAAGGAAAAGCTTGCAGAGCAAGAAAATCTGTCACATTTGATTTATCACCTGTTAATCTGTAAGACAAGTTATCACAAACAGAATGATGTAAAAAGGTAATCCTAGGTAACAACCAGGAACAATTATCACGTGTAGCTATCGTACATTATTTACACGAAGTTGGCTTTTGTCAATCTTATGGTGAGAGGTAATTTCTGACAAGGTGCTTCAGTGCAGCATATTTTTAAAGGTCAAGTTTGCTGTTTGTAAGTTAGACTGCTGGCAGTCTGTTTTCCTCTTGAAATTCAGCAGGGGTTATGAGGCGAGACACTTCAGCCTAAACGGTCATACCACCCTTTTTCATTCACAATGGCTAAACATTCGTCTAAGTGACCCTTGGAGAAAAAATGGGCTGCCAGCAGACTCTTCATAAGTCCTTTACACAAAGATACATGTAAGTTTCCAAGTAACTTGCAGTGGATTGAACTAATGTTACAGCTGCAGCATGTCCTTATGGTTGTTATACATGTATGTTCATCAGTCAAGCTTGGGTTGTTACTGCACCATTTGATAACACATGTATTTAACAATCATGATGTATCTTTGTAGAGAATTTTTAAAACATCTTTTCATGTACTTTATTTATTATAATTATAAAATCACACCCCTAACGACAGTCCTGGTTTATTTTATGTGCAGCATGTTCCTGAGTATTGACTTCAGCGTAATTGTGAACTGAATTTGTTTGTTTGATATCTTTTGTAGTGGTCCTGATAATGGAAGGCCACCAAATATGGTTAGTGTTAAGAGCTCAGTTAAATACAACACACACANCAGGCAACGCTCCCCCCAAAGAAACGGCTGCTCACATCCGAACCACATTCTTCTCCCTTTGTGTTGTGGTTTGTTTGGGTTCTGTTGAACAGACCAAGTACTTAATTGCAAAGTGTGAATGTCGTAAGCTTTCGCGTGAAAAGGTCTGCAGTGCGAACACGCGAGGGATTTCTGGCTTTTGTTTCACGCTGCACGTGGCCAAATATAGGTGGTGTTCGCAGGTTACCATCATGACGGACGAAAAGAAAATGTAAATGAAAGCCCTAAAGTACAAGTGCTTCATGTGCTCATCGCCATGTTCAGCTAATGAGAGAATATGTATTTTCTGGAAATGTCAAATTGTAAGTGTAAATCAAGGGCTAAACGCTTCCTACAGTTGAAATCAGGAGGAAAGAGGGGCATTCAGAACTTGCTGTCAACAAATTGAGCGAAGCTACTTGATTTAAAATAGATATCTTCCTTCTGGACAATAATTTTTTGAATTGAAAGCTTCTAATAATTAGCTTGAACTTTGAAGAATCTTCAGCTACACAGAAAGCTTGTTCAAGCATCGCCAGTATATTTTGGTGTCCATAAACACAAACAGGAAATCTGTATGTTGATTTGTGATATCTCCCACGACGGGATACAATGATAAAAAACATCCTTTTATTGGGCAAGTTTCAAAGATCGAATTTGATGTTCTTGAAAATGGACCGGAAGTGAGCAGCCATTTCTTTGGGGGGAGCATTGTGTGACATCCCAAAAAACAGCTGTGGAGGAGGCTAAGGATGGCTAGGGAATGAACAATGGTTCACAACACACATGAATAATAATCAAGCTGTTCATATGATTTGCTTACAGTATTTTCATAATCTCCCCACAGTAACGTGGCAGTTTTCTTTGAACTTTATATCAAATGCACCATGCTAAAAACTGACGTTTAGCTTCATGCAAAGATATTTTTTTACGTAGTTTAAGGTTTCACCCCGTGATGCATGCATGCATTGATTGGTCAAAGCAGCCACTTCTTAGGGGCGGGGGGGTTCCTGGTTCCAGGATTGTCATGGATACCTCCCTTCTTCATCTTACATTTGGTACCCTGCTTGCATTTTAGGTACCAGTGTCCAAGCTCATCAATTTCTGAGGAGTTTAATTTCCTTTAGAATATACATATATAGTGAAACCTGTATTAAGTGGACCCCATATTGAGTGGACACCTTCTATTAAGTGGACACCAGCTTGAGTCCCTAAATTTTCTTCCCACATTACTTTAAAATAAACCTGCATTTAGGGGACACATCTGTTAAGCAGGTGCGGACACCAATATTAAGCCACTTTGTTGCACAAAGCTGCAGTAAGCAGACACTTCAAGAGTTTTTTACTTCTAAAAGCTCAGCTCTGACTCCTTTATCATTGTTCAGCGATGTTGTTTTAAAGCTAAGTAGTTTATTCCAGACTGATGCATTGACTGACTGGCATTGTGCTGTGAGCAGTCTTTGATCTTACACTGTGTTACACTGTGTTACAAAAGGGATAATTAACTATTATTGCACAATAAAAACCTGTTTAGAGCCAACAACCTGTATTAAGTGATCACTAGTGAGTGTCCTAAGGGTGTCCGCTTAAGGTGGCTGAACACAGTTTTTGATAACTGTGTTTCATTCACCTTTTTCTCTAAAACCCTTGATCCCTTGGTGGCTTAAAATGGCAACAAGCAAGTTAACGACACAAACTTTGGTTTTTTGGATGGTTAAGCTGACTATGTGCCATTGCCATGGCAACATGAGTGAATATAAACAGGCCTTTAAAATCAGTTTTGTTTATTTGTAGATAGTCTAGTTGTTAGATTTTCTTTATAATTTGCATACAACAAGCTTGTAACGATTCTCACAAGTTGACACCATTTTGCTAATAATTCAGCAGAGAGATCTTTAATCATCCCTTGTTGAAGGTTCACTGGAATATCTAGGATTTCCTTTGTTAAAGTTAAATTTTTTTCAATACTCCAGTTGCTTATTTCCTAAAGTATTTTTGTGCCAAATTTTGTGAAATTCTAATTAGTGGTTCTCGAGACATAGGTGTATTTCTCCGAGTGCAATTTTTCATTCAATCGCAATTTTTTTGCTTACTAGTAACGCATGCGCTGCATTTAAGTGGGTTCTTTCGGTAACAAAGAAAAAGCTGAGAATTGCTGGGTTCTTTGAATCGTTACCTTTTTTAGCATATCTTCGTAATAAAAGACTAAAGCCATCAATTCACTGCGTTCAATTACAGAGAAAAATAGCACAGATAGTGCGGGTGTTGAGTAAATAAAATGATCGCTCTGTTGACAGCATGTTTGTATTTTAGCAATCCTTGTGCACGCGAATTGCATCAGCAAAAGCGTGCGCAAAAACTGTGTTCGGCCACCTTGATACAGGTTTCACCATAGACTAAACTGGTCATCAAACAATGATTAAATAAACTGTAAGAGATTTGAGTTGTTGCGCTCAAATTGATTTTCACTGCTTACTTCACCAGACCAGAGGAAAATGCCTGTCCAAGCTGCCAGCCAGTTTCCTGCAAGAACAAACTTCCTTCTGGAGGTATGTGTTTTCTCCTTCCTCTCTGAGAGGGCAGCTGAACTTTTTTTGTGTGACTTAAGTGCAGTGACAATGAAGAAGTATATTATTAGCAATCACTCATCGTGGGCTTGTTGACAGGTTAATTAAAATATTTTATATTGTGCCACAGCATCTTTCATCTTTCACTCTGAGAACACCTCAAGAGACTCAAGTCCCCGCTCAGGAAAGACTAAGGCAAACTAAGGTGTGGTATTTATTTTTAAGTACAGTCAACTTTCTCAAAGTGACCACTTCTCGTAAGCGGTCACACTTGGTCTCAATTTGAAATGAAATGATATTCACAGGTCAGCATAAAAGTACTGAAGCATAAAATGAAACAATGTACCGAACAGTGTTCACGTTCTTACTGACATTTGCCGGCTTTCTCTTCAAGCATTTTCTTCAGATCGAGACTGTAGAGATGCATCTTTTAGCAGTCTTTTTATTCAGTGGTTTCGGTGATTGACAAATTCTGCATGTACAGGCTTTTTGTGTGCTTAGATTTGTCTGGTAATCATTACTTTTTGTCTGAAGATTCCTATTTGAAGAAAGCATTCATGAATACATATTACTATTCTGACTAATGCATTACATCTTTTGTTAATTAAAAAAAAAATTGGCAAGAACTCACATTTTTTAAGTTAAGAGGCGCCACTGAAACAGTTGTTTCAGTCTATGGTTCTGCAAAAATAAGAGCCGAGATCTGTGCATTCCTGTAACTTGTAGTATCACTATGGTTGGGTTATTTACTGATCATGATATTGTGTTGCTGTTTAGGAATTGTTAGCCAAGGGTAATCAATGGACGAAAGAAATGGAGATGAGATTGACAGATAATGATGTGGTGCTTTTAGACGGGGAGACACAGGTTAACATTGAAATTATTCTTACTTGTGTATGATGACCAGTGTTAGGACATATGACTGTATATGCTAGTAATGATTCTTGTTGGATGTCTCAGCAGAGAATTTTTTTGTAGGTACATGTATACCAGATTTAAGTGTCGGCAAACTTTCAGAGCCAACTGTGAAAAAGTTTTATTGCAGACACTGAGGAGAATATTTTTTATAAAATAATTTTTGAGCTTTTCATGAAATATGGTCTAAAAGACAATGAATGTGTATTTACCTTTTCAGGACGTTGTTGAAGTGTATTCATTGAACACAATCGGCCATGTACACCACTTCAGTGATGATCCCGACTTGAACAGTGTGTTGGTATTTAACACAATACAGACAAAAGAAAAATTTGCCGCCATGCATCTGTTCCAGTCAGACAGGGTCCCGGTATGTACACATGCATGGAAGCTGCCTATTCCCCTCATTGAATTTTTAAGTTTCCTTAAACCTGGTGAGAGATTCATAAACTCTTTTACAAGAGATTTTATAAAAGATCTTGTTGTATTGAGATTGGTCAATTTTACAGGCCAAGTGATGCAGGTCAGCCATCTTCTCTTATCCTTAACCTGAGGTGTTTTTATTTTCCAAAAGTGAGAGATAAACATGCAAAAACCCTTTTTTTTCTTGGCCGTTTTCTCCCATTAGTTGGCTGTTCGTCACTGTTGATGCCCTAGACTTATCAGTGGTGGTCACTAGGATTACCCTCACCTTACAAAAATTTAAGTTTAACAATTTACAATATTATTGTCAATGTGGCATATTTTTATTGCCTCTTAAAATAATATGTTTACCTAATTACAAACATCAAGGTGAAATCAATAAATTGTGTTTTGTCACCAGGCAGCAGTTGTGGCCACAGAAATTATGAAAGCTTCCAGCAGCAAATCAGTGAGTAATCAATGTCAAATATACATCTCAATAAAATTGACGTATCAGATGTCGAGACAACAGGTTAAGTCTGTTCTAAATAAACCATTTATTTTTCAACTTTTTGATCCACTACTTTTACCTTTTGGAAGGTGTTGCTTCATGTGGCTTAAAACAATAGATAGCAGTTCACAGCATTGTCCTTAGCCTCTAAAAAAAACAATCAAAGTACATGGTATTAGTAGGCAAATGAGAATAGAGGTTTGAAAGAGGCATTTTCTTTACTGCTTTTGGCAGTGATAATGATAAATAAACAAATGGTTTAAGATGATTTCCGCAGAACATTCGAGCAATAATGGCAAAAATTAAGTTACCAAAAAACCCTCATAGCATGTTAATATTTTGAACACAGTAAAGAAGGTTACGAGACTAAAGCTCTCAAGCAAACCCCACGAGAGAAAATTGAACTTGAAGTTATCCATGTTTCAATTAAAACAGATGTTTCGTGTTAGTTAAAAACACAATAACACATGCTTTAAGCATTCTTACGAGGTTTAACTTTAACTTTCTCGAGAATGCTTGAGGATTTAATCGCAGGGTCACTGAGAGAAATTAACTAAAGTGAGTTGTTTTAAATAATATTCCAAAAGTTACCTTGCTATGAGTAGATTTTTATTTAATAATTTTTGCACTTATTGCTCGAACTTTGAGCAGAATCCGTTTTAATTGAGCTTCAGACCTCATACATCGTTTAGATCACTTGTAAGTAATCTAAAGGAAATATCTTCTACGGGTCAAAAAATTATGTTGATGAAAAACCGTGTTAATTAGAACTTGTGTTCATTTGTTCTTTTTCAGGCAATGCCCAACAGATTTGCAGCGAGAGGTGGTGCTATACTTCCCCCACCCCCTACCCATCCAGCACCCTCTCCTCCCACGGTAGATATGTTTTGTCTTACACAGATATTTGTTAGTGATAGTTATGTAGTGTCGTTAGTTTGTTTGAAAATTGGCCTCTTGTTCATTAATTTGGATTTTAATTGCTTTACAATGAAAATGTGAGGAAAAAAAAAGTCTTCAGACTAACATGGACACCATTGATTTTATTTTCCCAGGAAGTTGATCAAGAAAGGTTAGACCTCTATGAGAAATCTTTGGTGGCTCAGACCATTGCAGCATTTTCTGCAGTGACTGATGACACAAAGAAAACAGCAAAGCCACAAGTGTTGTCTAAATACCAGGCGTCAGAATCATCCTCTGATATCCCTGATGAAACACTGTCTGCGGAACTGTTGGAGGCACGAACAAACAGAGATGTGGTAAGAGAGAGAAAATGTGATGAAGAGCTTGTTTCTCCTTATATTATATTGTCACTACATAATAACGAAGAAAAATGGCCAGGGATAGTTCCTTGGAGTACCATCAAAATTTCAGAACTTGCTGTAATAGAAATGTGTGAAAATCTGTAGGCAAATTGAAGTTTTGTGCATGGGAGGCAGAGGTGTCAGCATCCCAGAACGTAATTTTACTGGCATTTGATGCTTTGCACTTTATGATTATCATAGATTCTCTGCACTTAAGGTACTAGCAATAAATATGGCAAATGCAATGTTGCATCAGGCAGCCGTAATACTAGAAGGTGGAAAGTGGAGAATTAACTCAAAGGTGATTTGGAGAGCTGGAAATCAACCCAAGTAATTCTCTCTGAGCATAAGCGCTAGAAAGGAAATGTGGGACCACACATGACAAAGAACTAGAACTGGAACTAGACAGGATTGAAACCCTCCTGTCCTGGATAAGATCACTGCTTCTACGTAGGAGAGTAGTTATGAATGACAGTTGCAAAATAAAGCTTGAAAAAGAATTTGGCTTTAACAGGGTTTGAACCCATGACCTCTGCAGGGGTTTCAATAAGGGCCTGTCATTGAGTAAATTGACTGGCTGTGAGGACAACTTCCCTTGCCTCGTTTGACCATCTAGAGGAAAATTTTTCTTTCAAAGACGTTCAGTTCGAAAAAGGTTTTGCCCACTTACTGGAAACGTTAATGGAACCCCTGCCTCTGCAATACAAGTGCTGTGCTGTACTAACTGAGCTATCAACCGAAGCCTAGACTGCAAGCAGGTTAATTTGTGAGTCCATAATAATTATAATCCAGTTGATTATGAAGACCGGCATATGAATATATGAAACATGATATATTTGAACTGTGGCAGAAATGAATGCTACATGTACATGGAAGATCATAGTGGTTATGAATGTAATTGAAACAGCTGTCGTAATAATGCCTGGAAAAAATCATGCTTGAATGCAGCTGGAATCCTGAATTTTTTCAGGCTTTATTTTTGCAACAGCCAATGTGCGAGTTGCTGAGGTGATCTTTCATTTATTACTATGGAAACATATTATTATCGTGGTCCCCATGGTGCTTAGTATTGATTGTGATTTAAATTCATTCTTTTGTTGGACGTTGTTGATTGTTAAGTGACTGAGAATAAAATGAACAATTATCGTTCATTTCAGCAAATTTTGAACCACTGTATTGATGATATTGAGAGTTTGGTCCTGAGAACAAAGAAGTCGGCTGAAGCGTGGAAAAAATTGCAGAAAAAGAAAGGAAAAGCAAAACGTGAGTCTGTATCTTGCTTCAATCCATCCTCTAATTAAAATGAGTTAATTTCTTTTTTGCACAATTAATTATATGCCTCTGTTGTTAACCTTTCCTACTATGTTATACCAACAGAAAGTCCTTTGACAGAGGAAGCTCGACCTCCTCCAGAGGCAGATTTTTATGATGCATTTCAAAAGTTAAAGCATGCCTTAAACTTGCTGGTGAGTTTCATTCAGGATATCATACATACAAGGTCGCCGCACACTAGCCGATTTTTTGTCAGCCGACAAAAAATCTTCACTTGTCAGCTAGTGTGCAGTGAATTCAGACAAGTCTGCGACAAGATTAGGGCTTGTTGGGTGATATCTGACAGTGCTAGATCTCAAACCGTGTTATCGGGCCTTGTCGGCTAGTGTGCAGTGGACCAAGACAATTTGTCGGGACTCGCACGTGCCTCAACCAATTATGAAATTTTTTTCTTCCTGCTCCAATTTTCGCACAACCAGACTTTGTTCCTTCACGCCCTGTTACGGAATGCTCACTAAGCTTGCTAAGGTATACATGGTTTGTACATTTTGCTTGCTTGGTACCCTGTAAAGAGCTAGGCTGGTCTTGCTGCTTGTTGTGGTTCTGTCACATGTCAGCTGTTCATTCAAATTGAATATAGAAGCTTCTAGTGTTGGTTAAACAGATTACACTGAGCTAAAATTGAGTCCTTACAGGAAACAAATTTGCCTCAATTTGTATGAGAACATAAAACTCAGAAACCAGGTTTACAAAAAGAAAATAAAAGAATAAATAAATTAGAGAAGAAGCCACAGCAGCCTCGACTGGTTTTCATGCGGGTCTTCTTTCCTGGTCGAATTGGAATTTGGAGTGTTGGTTTTCTGGAGGGAGGAAAACCAGAGAACCCGGAGAGAAAGCCTCGACGCAAGGCGAGAACCAACAACAAACGCAACCCACATGTGGCACCGGGCCAGAATCGAAGCCGGGTCACACTGGGTGGGGGGCGAGCGCTCTCGCCACTGTGCCATCCCTGCTCCCTCTCTGGTTCGTGGTTATGATGTTATTTGAAAGTGATTGATTCAATATTCCACCCAAATTTTAAGTTCATACAATTTACCCAAGAATTGTATAGCAAAACTATCACGATGTTGTCCAGGTGAGAACAATTGTTTTATCGAAACACAGGGAAAGTTGAGGCACCACATCCACAATCCTAACGCTGCAGAATTGGTCCATTATTTATTTGTTCCTCTGTCTTTGTTGGTTCGCTGTACTGGAGGGTAAGTTCGGCTTTTTATTTCATTTACATTTTTTTCATTGTTTGTACCCTTTAACATCCTTCTGGTGTTTATGGTTGCCTGTTAGTCACTACTGCCTGGAAGAAGTCATTCAATTATCAATTGAAAACAATTTCTGCTGATGAACTCACAAGCTGCAAAATGTCAGAGTTTGTTGTCGATTAATGGAGAATTTAACGCTAGTCCAATAACACAGCGGTGTCTTTCAATGGAAGCTAGAAGAGTGTGAATGTGGGTTATTATGGTGGTACTATAATTCGTGGCAAGGTAGATAGACATACAAGCATTCTACGGGAAGCAATGTATCAGCTAACTCGAATTGTTCAAAACAAGTTCCATTATGTAGAGTTCCTAAAATTTGCTTTATTTGTTGTAGTCCTGAAAAGGCCAGAGCCGTTGTTGTCCCGTTGCTTACTACACATGCTATAGACCTGCTGCAGAACTGCCTCTCATCTAAGGAAACAGACTTCTGGATGGCTCTGGGACCCAACTGGACATTAGCAAAGTATGTGTGAAACAAGGTGTACTTGCATCGATGAAGGGCTAAAAATAGTGGTCAAATCTTGTTGAATATCACTATATTAATCCATTGAAGCTCCGAAAGGCCGGGTGCTGTCATGACTTAAAAACGCAGACAAGGTTGTCAACTCAAATAAGAAGAAAAGATTAAAAAGTATGTTACCTTTCTGTCTCCCTCGGTCAGTGTTTGTAGCACCAAAGCAGATATTTTCAAGTTTAGTCGCTGAGATTTGACAAAATTGCTGCAAAGTAACTACAATTTGCCTTCTTTTTAACAATTTACTTCTTCAGTAAAGTGCCTTCATATTCGTTTTCGTGTTTAAGAAAAGGTACTTCGTGATAATTTTACTTCCGTGTTGATCAAAAAACTCACCGAGATAGAGCCCCTTTAATGTTTCATTGTAAAGCTCTGTTTGTGTATTTTTTATGACATTAGGGTCTTTTTGACAAACAGTATTAGAAAATAAGTCCAAATAGTGTACGGGCAAATTACGATTAGGGAACGCGGCGCAGCCAAATTGCCTATTGCTCATAGAAAATAGGGGTAAGTAGTGTAATTGTCTTTGTCTAAATTCCAACGCTACATTTTATAGAGGGTGTGCTTTGTTATTAAAGATGTGGTTGTTGTTCGTCGTGCTTATACAGATAAGTGACCGTTTGATCGTTTGTATCACGATATAGAGTCACTATTTTGGTGACTCACTTTTGGCGCCTCAAAACGCACCAATGACTGAGTCTTCTCGATGAGGCAAACGATCTGAGGTTCGTTTGTTTAGCGGGTATGCATTGTTTCTTCCCTCCACGAAAACCAACACTCTAAATTCCAATTCCAATTCCACTTTCAATTCCTCTACCAGGGTAGAAGACCCGCTGAAAACCAGCAAAGGCTGATGTCTTTAAATATAGTAATTTATTATTTTACTTTTTTATACGTTGTTTAAAGCGTGACAGCCAAAAAACCTGCAACTTAAGACATCTTTAAGCCAAAATCGACAAAGTGTTAGATCAAGGAAACATGTCGTCAGTTTGTTATTTTTTTTCTCCCCAGATCAAGCAAGCAGTTTAAGGAGCAGTTTATTCCTCATTACACGCCTGTGTTTAAGGACGGCTGGGTGCCACCAGAGGTGATCGCTGGTAAAGATGTGTCCAATCTAAGTGCAGCTATCGCTGCAAATGCCGCTAATGCTGCAGCTGTGGCCCAATTAACTGATGGACAAAGAAAGGTACAAACAATGGCTGAAATGTTACTGAGTTCCTCTTCTGGGTAGACTACGAGTAGTCTCTCTTTCGCTTAGTCCGTCGTGTTTGACGCGAGACAAAGCCGCGAGAAAAAAATGGCCGCGCAAACTCCTGGAGGCGAGAAGCACGCGCGCGTCTCGCTCTAAGGATTTCACGCGGCCATTTTTTCCACGCGGTTTATTTACGTCCTCGCTCGACGGACTAAGCGAAAGAGGGACTACTCGTAGTCTATCTTCTGGGTGGTTAGACTCCTACTTAGGAGTGGACCGTTTGGCTTTTGAGGGGGATGATTTCAAAAAATGTCCTGAAAGCATACATGTACCAAAAGAAATTCCTTCACTCGACGACTGCCGAAAAAAAATTTCTCGCACGTTCAGTAAGTCGATAGAAAGCATGTCTTACAGAGAAAAAAATATGCATGCACACGTCCTGAGAAAAACAATTTCCTATTACATGAAAGGGTTACATAAAGGACTCGTTCCTAAATAAATAATAATAATAAATCTCTTTAAGGAGAAGGTCACTCCAAAAAACGTATATTTTTTGTCAACGCTAATAAAAAAAAACATTGCACTAAGTTTAGCCACTCACCGAAGTTTCAGCCTCTAAAGTGCAGATTTTACTTACGAAATTCGTCTCCAAAGAAGCCCAAAATTCGACATCGTTGCCGCCATTTTGAACAGAGTACGCGTCAGTTTTCGTGACGACATTCCGTCCAAGAGATTTTGTCCAAATGGCTGCCGAACAAGCCTTTAAACTACCTCTCTGGGTTATGGCTGCTCTTGAGCCATATTATTTTTAGCCAAATATGCTCTCCAAACTTGGAAAATGATAGCAGTGAAGATAGTGAAGTAGATAATCGCTTGGAATAAAGACATTTTGCTGACCTTGTGAAGGATGCAAAGTCAGTCGCAGGTTTTTCTCCTTGCGGCCAATTTCGAGTCGGACGGAATGACGTCACATAAACACGGCCTGGCTGCCAAGTACAGTCCTCGAGCTCCAAAGTCTCTTCTTTCGAGACGAATTCCTTCAGGATAGCAGACACTTCAGAGGCTGAAATTTCGCCGAGTGGAAAAGCTGACTGTTTACTTGCTATAGGCCGCAAGGCGAAGACAAAAAAATTAGCTTTTTGGAATGACTTTCTCCCTTAATTGACCACTCCCCCAGTGGGGCTTTTCTAGGCCCAATGAAACCAAATGATGAAACAAATTATGCAAATCAACATTACATGGTTAAAATCCCACTTGGCAGGAGGCTGACCAGTTGGCTATTACATTCCCAGTACAAAATCCCCCCCCCNCAAAAGTCCAATAGTCCACCCCTGAGACCGCAATCTTCCTCCTACCACCAAGAGGGAATGCGTGACGAGTCCTAACAGGAGTTAATCGATATTTTTTTGACCTGCCTCTTTAGGGTGAAGATTCTGCTGCGAACCTAGCAAATCCCGCGGTGCTTTCAGCGGCGGCCAAGTTCAGACGACTGGCAAGCGTGAAAAAACCTGACGAAACTACACCAACAAGGTGAACAATCAACAGTTATACTCAACAGCGATTGATTTGTAGTTTCTCTTCACATTCCCATAACAAGCTGAAAAGAAAAGTAATTAGAATTGAAAAGCTGGTCCTGGGATTAGAAGGCGCAGGGGAGAATGTCTATTGCGGATGTTGCAACTACAAAAACGAGTTTAGCTCACACATTTCAAGTCTGTTATCAAACTAAAGTGAGCTTAATCTTTGTGCACAACCCATGTATTCAAGTTATTTTGAGTTTGTCTTCGGTCTGCCCTTTCATCGCAGACTTTGAAATGACCAGTCTTTTACCACCGTAGCCAGGCATTTCAAGGTTCAGATTTTTTTTTGTCTTTACTTTGATGATAAACTATTTACCTCAATTGAGTGTTTTTAAAACCAAAAGCAAAGTAATCCGAAGCTCTGGCCAATCATAAAGGACACAGACAATCCAATGAACCAGTCAAATCTCGAAGTAAATACATGTAGCCGACCCGAAGCGCGGGAAAACGTGTGCAAACGCGTCACGATATGTTCTAGTTTTACTTATGATTGGATGACAAAGTGGCGCGGGTTTTTTAAGCCAATCTAATGACAGCTAATGAAGTATTCGTGTTTTTATTCTTGTTTTAGCCCAACGAAGAAGGGTTTAAGAAGAGTTCGTGTTCTTTTTGACTTCCAAGCAAGGAACAGCAAAGAACTGACAGTCCAAAAAGGAGAAGAAGTTGCAGTAAGAAAAAATAGCTGCTTACTCTATTGCACTTACTCGTATTTCCGTTGTGTCAAAAAAAAAAAAACTTTTTAAAAAAAATCGGGTAGCATAGTTGCCCATAAAAATAACAATATTTCTTGGATAGACGGAAGAATACTTGGGCAAACAGGGTAAAGAATACAAGAACACTTTCAAACTTTTAATGTTACAAAAAATAATATTTTCGGTTCAAATCTCATGGAGACTCGTTACATTATAATAATAACGAAAGGCCGGAATAAATAGAACTTGCAATGAGCAAGTAGGTTTCCATCATACTTCTGGGTGTGGCCTTGGTTTTGGCCTGTACTTTGCTCTCAACAAAGGCAAGTGCTGGAAACGGTTATTTCTCTTTATTGACTCCAAGTTGACACGTAGCTAAGTATTTCAACTGCCCGACGACGCAGCCTGCCCAACATTTTCTTTGGAAATTAAGAACTTTATGTCTAGAAATGCGTCGAAGCCGCATTTTAGAATTACAGTGAAGCTTGCCTGATTTGATTTTCTGTTGTGTTAGGTTCTTCTTGACAATCGCCAGTGGTGGTGTGTCAGAAATTCCGAAGGGTCCATAGGTTTTGTGCCAAATACAATCGTGGAAGAAACAGGTACAATCTCGTCTCTTGACTTGCAATAGTCTTTTGCAGGGTAACTGACTGGTAACTGCAAGTGAATATATGAAAGAACTTATATTTGAACCGCAGAATGATCTTCCCAGTTATATACACGGCTGGTGTTCTATTGGGATCAACCGTTCCAAAAGCAACCGGTTTTGGTTGATACGGTCGACGTTTCTCAAAAGAGCACTGATCCAACCGTTTTCGGTTGAAACGCGGTTGAAACGCGGTTACTCCTGGGACTAGTCCTTACGCGAGCTACAGTCACGCGACATAGTCACGCAAATGCTTTGTCAACCGTTTCAACCTGGTTTGAGGGCGGTTGAAAGAGTTGATCAACCAAACCAACCGAAAACGGTGTTTTCCTAATAGAACATGGCCACAACTTAAGCAGCTGTGAAAATAAAGCCTGGAAAAATTCAGGCTTGAACTGGATTCGAACCCATGGTCTCTCTAATCCGGGTGCAGTGCTCTACCAACTAAGCTGTCAAGCCAACATTTTCTCAGGCTTTATTTTCATTCATCTCTTTACATCTTTCTCCGCTGTTCAAATTTANTAGTCTAACTAACAGTTAGACTACGGTCTGGGTTTTCTATACGCGAATAGTCATAGAGGAACAGTCGAGTTCCTGCCTCGCACCCAGACTTCTTTCTAAATAATGGCCGCGCAAGGGAGGAAGGGAAGGTGCTTCTCTTCTTTCCTCTTCCCGTGGTCGCTCGCGATTTGCGCTCGTCACCAGTCGTTCAAGTGCAAAGTACCTGAGGAGGCTGGTCAAGTTAACTCTGGAAATGAGGGCGAGTTTTCTTTTTGTGGACACTGAAAGACCCGCAATTGAAAGTATATATAAACTACAAACAGAGATTGTTTTCCATTTTGTAGCCAACGAGCGCATGACTAAATCCCAACGACGACAGAACCTGGCAGATAAGCGGGTTTACAGTATTGCATGTCTTCTATAAAGGTTACACTGGGCTTCTACTCTTTGTGCCCCTACTAAATGGTGAATATAAAAATAAATTAACCAGAGACCCAACTGAGCTTTACGTCTTTAATTTCACAAATCAAGTTGCAGAAAATTGAGACGACAGCTCAAGCACCTCCATCATCACCAACACAAGCACCGGCCCGAGTGTCAGAGAGTCCAAAGATTCCTCATGTGGAACTGCGACATGTTGGAATTACAAAGTCAAACCGTCCTGTGTCAGCCCCTCCCATCCAGCTGGTGATTCCCCCACCTCCACCCAGCAGTCCACCCCCTTCCACTCCTCCCCCACCCGTCACACCGCCTCCCCCTGTGCTTTTGAAGACGAACGACACGACACAGAAAGGTATGTACTGTGTAACTCCATGGCACTACGCCAGAATGTTGTTTTGTAATCCATCTCAGTCTTTGCCAATCTTAGCCATTCTTTCTTGTTTCTAACTTACTGTTACTTCTCTGATATTTAATTTATCCTATTAATTTTAAGAGGTTTTAGCGAGAACTGAGTATGTCTCTGCTGATCTTACTACATTTTAACGTCTTCTGTGATCCGGCAGCAATTAACATACAAAAAAAAAGTGTTAATTACGTCATATATCCGTCTTTCCTCCAATGGATCTTAAGTACAAACTAATCAAAAGACGAGAATGATTCGCCATATTTTATAATTGCTGATATTTTGAAAGCTTCAGAAGCCACTCTGCCTGGGAGCGCTGATTTTGCCAAGGCCATCCAGGCGAAGAATCTGAAAAAAGTTGATCCTGAAGAGGAAAAGAAACGACGCGAACAGTCGCAACAAAACAGAAGTGAGTTGACGTTTCCATCTCATTGCACCGCGTAATCTTTATTGTCCGCTTTTCTAAAGAACAGCGAGAAGAGCTGCTTCATTTTTTGCAAAGAATGTTGCCGAGTGTAAGCGATTTACACACGGCTGAAGAGTAAAAGTAAAAGTTTCATTTTTGCCGTTTGCCGTAAACGTCATTCTCAACTTGTCTAATTGTCTCTATTCGGCAGTGAGCTCAACGGACATGCTGAATGATGAACTAAAACGAAGAATGACCTCTAACCAGGGGGGACTTACACCAAGAGTGCCACGGAAGGGTGAGTTATGCTGTGTAGTCATTCGGGCAATAGTAGAGCTGGGTATAAGGAGGGGGGGTGTTGTACTATAGGTTCGTTCATCTCGCTGTGAATAAGGGAGACGTTGATTAGTTTTTGCTTCTAATTGACTCAGGATTCTCATGGTCAAAGAATTATCTTTCTTTCTCAGCAATTAAAGGGCCCTAGTCAGCCACGCCTTTTTTTTTGTTTACACGCGAGAGTTTGGCTATTATATTTTATTCGGAACTTGTCAAAACGAAAGAAAATCACTTTGACACTACTAAAGACAATTAAACACATTTTTAGGAACATATTTTACAGTAAAGCAATAAGATTTCTAACATGCAATATCAACAATTTCGATGGCATTGAAAATGGCGGAGTCTGACTAGGGTTCTTAAGATCAGAAATAAGACGTAATTCAGTTCATGTGAGAGAAACTGAAAATGTCTGGTCCCAACTGGTGAAAAATTAGCCTATTCTCTGTCCTGAAAACAGCCGATCAGTAAGTGAGTATTGTGTCACGTTTTTAGGTTTCAGGTTTTACACATACCAGTCGTCTGTCACAGCAGTGTTTTAAAATGAGCGCATGAAACAGCGTATAGTTTGGTCTTGAAAGGCAGAATGTAGTTGTGGTGCTCTCAAATATTAAGGGTTTTAATTGTCAACGATCAAAAGTCACCTGCAAGAATCAGAATAGAAGCATTAGAAATTTAACTTGCAATTTTACTTTTTACCACTGCAGATTTGCAGACCGTCGACCTGACCGCTGATTCAAGCGCCAGTGAAGTCAAACAGTGGCTCAAGAGTAAAGGATTCACTGAAAGGTCTGTTGTTGTTCCATATCAGTTCAAGGTATTGATTTGCCAAGAGCGGATAAAGGAATATTGGCAGAATAGAGGAATGTTGCGGATTCCCTACACGACATGAAAATGGGTAGGCGTCGTAACCCAGTGGTGTATGGCGTTGGGTTTGAAATCTGGAGGCTACCGAGTTCAAATCCCTCAGCTTGTCTGAATGTATTCGTGGTAATTTTGTGTTTAGCTCCACGGCCGCATTATGTTAATAGCTAATATCCCTTCAGACGGGCTTCTAATCAAGGCAGTTATGGTCTATTTGGAAAACTCATTTGTTGATTTTAATTTTTCATCACGCGCATGTAATGTAGTAGTCGAATATCAACACTTTTTTGTATTGTAGTTTCCATTTTGTTGTCTCGTCAAACTGGGAGGCGCGGTGGTCTCATGGTTAGTGCGCTCATCTCCGGATCGAGCGGTCTGGGTTTCTAGCCCTGACCAGGGACATTGTGTTGTGTTCTTTGGTTATACACTTTACTCTTACAGTGCCTCTCTCCTCTCTACACCAAGTAGGTGCATAAATGCCTACCGGCGAATTTAATGCTGAGAGGGAACGCTGCAATCGACTAACATCCCATCCCGGGAGGGAAGACAAATACTCCTAGTCGTTTAATGCGGGATAAATAGGAATAATCTCCGGCGGCTTGGACCGCTCGGCCCGACGCGGACTCTGTCTTTGTTGTCTGGAAGAAATTTTTTTAAACAATGGAAATTCAACCTCAAATAACGTTCATGAACACTTTTTTACCGCAACAGTTCTAAAAACAGCAACATTTGTTTGTTTACTGATAACTTTTATTTCATCGTCGCAGTTGTGTGACAGCATTATCTGGCAAGTCCGCTAAAGATCTGGAGTCGATGACAAAGGACCAGTTGAAGCAGGCTTGTGGAGATTCCGAAGGATCAAGAGTATTCAGTCAGTTTGCAGTGCAGAAAGCCAACTGGGAGGTAAAGAAAAGAGGGTTCGTTTTCCACTGACACTTTAGTCCGTAGCACGGAAAGCAATTATATCTAGTACATTTACACCATAAGTATTCCTCGTTTTGAGTCCTGGACTGTTTATTTTTTTGGTGCCCTGGCAGGAAGCTTCTTGGAACTCTACCGTCACTGAGCATTATGTTCCTGAAAAAAAAAAAACGACACTTCGTAATCGTTTTTCGTTTTTCGCGCTTATAAGCGTGTTAGTCTAGTGTCAAAAAAGGACCTTCAGTTCTAGTTTGAAAACCTCCTGAAAACACCTCTTCAATTGTGCAAGCTCACTGAGTTATCGCAAATATTTTGTGGTATTGTTTATTAGTAAGATAAGCCATGCCCTAGTTTAAATACATTATGAAAAACATTCTCATCTGCGTCTAGCGCTAGGGCTTAAAGTAATTATCGCCGGATATCGAACTCCTTGTTTGTAGTATTGTTGATATCAGGCAATACCGTTTGTCTCGGTTATGTAGCTAAATATACGAAATAGGTTATATTTGCAATTTGCAAATGGTCCTGTATAACAGACTGTTACGAAGATATATTCTTTTTTTCTTTGCACGAAGCCAGTTAACTAAATGGTGTTGTGTTGTTTTTCTGCTAGGCGTCAAATAAAGGATCTGAATTAGCGGTAAGTACTCAGATAAGCTGAAATTCCTCTTCTCAGATCAGTATTACACAGTTAAGATATTTCAAACAGCCAAACCAAAACAGCTCTATTGTCGATTTCTTTTTCCAGATTCGAGATTGACTTCTAAGAGTCACTAAGTTACATTTTTCGCCGCCCGTGGCTCTTACTAGACTACGTTTTCGCGCGCTTTTCATTGAGATACAAGTTGCATCCTTTCCCGCCCTTGACACCAGTACGTTTTCCCGCGCTTGTCATTAAGATGCGGGTTGTCTGTTTTCCCGCCCTTGATACCGGTACTTTTCCCCGCGATTTTCATTAAGATACGGATTGCATGTTTGCCCGCCCTCGACACCACAACGTATTCCCGGGCTTTTCTGCATTAAGACACGGGTTGCATGTTTTCCCGCCCTTAGCACCACAACGTTTTCCCGCGCTTTTCATTAAGATATAGGTTGTCTGTATTCCCGCCCATGACACCAGTACGTTTTCCCGCTTGTTGTAAAGACATCTGTAGCAAGCTTTCCCGCTTTTGAAATCAGTTACTTCTCTAGTTGAAGCTCGTCTTTGAGTGAATCTTTAATTTCTTTTTCAGTTCATAATGCAAAAACGTAAGGAGAGATCGGAAGAGAAAACTGCCGAGGAGCTGGAAAACGCTGGCGAACTCCGAAGCATTGTTGCCGACGCCAAAGCTGCGGCAGCTCAAGAGGAGATTGAATTAAGACGCAGAACATCCAGTGCAGGGAAGAAAGCACCTCAGCTCGGTGCACCCGCAACCAAACCTCGTCCGAAAAGCTTTGCGGGACCTGAGACCAAGCCGCGCAAGGACAGCAAGGCAGAACGAAAGTCTTCCCGAGGAGAGTCGTTTGATGCTGAGTTTATCCCACCGCCACCCATGCTGGAATCCGAAGATCAGCCGACAAGTGGCGAAGCGAGTCCGAGGGTAAGCGATGGAGTAGAGGATAGCGAACTAAAGTTAAATTACAGACTGGAGCGGAAAATCTAAATTTTTTTGAGCGAGTAATTTCCTTTCCATTTGTAAGAGCTACTCGGTCAATTTCTCTAATTAATGATACTCTGGTGGAAAAGGAGATTTTAACAAGGAACCGCATGGGCGGAGACTAAAATCTGGTTTTACGACACCACAAACTTGCTGTATCAATGGGTAATAGTATGAATGCGGGTTTAATTAAGGATTAAGTCAACTTTAGACATAGTTGATGTCAAATTTGATCTCTGTGGAGCATGGCTAAAGAAGGCTGACTTTGACTGGTGACAGCTAGCATAGTACAAAACTGAGTCGCTAACCTCAAAGAGAAACGATTAGTGCTAACTACCGAGCCCTGCCGTATGGGTTAACCTTGGACATGCAAGCATGCTATTACCATGTTTTTATTTTTTTCCTGCATCAACATGGACAGTATCTTTTGATAACGTCAACCATTGTAGAGTATTGATATATATCGCTGAACCTTTTCAGGCGAGAAAGATTTCTTCTGAGGACGTGGAGAATATTATGCGAGAACAGAAGAAACAACAGGAATTCTTGTTGGTAAGCAACGTTGGTTAAGCTGTTAAAGGAACTCAGTCACGGTTTGCGCATATTGAAGAGTTAAGCCTCAATTTTTCAAATTCGTCGTTTGTAATCCGTGTYAATCTTCTCCATCCTTAGCCATCCTTGTTCCTTTTTGGTTTATCATTATCTCTTTGGTATTTTTCTATCTTATTAAACTGTTATTTTCAGGTTTCCTACCATTTAAAGGTAATTTGTATGTGGCCAAAATAACTCAAAATACCGTGACTGGGCTCCTTTAATAAAAGGTTATTTGAAGCACGATTCGTTTGAAACACAGATGCTTTTTGTGGCAAATTTCGCGGCAATATTCGAAGAGACGGTAACTAGATTCATTTTGTTACGAGCACGGGACAGTAAAAGTTTGAGTCGACAACAGGAGTCCAACCTATGATTGTTGGAGCTGCAGGGAGACTGGTGGCGAACCAAACCATTTACAAAGTCGAAGAGTTTCTGATTGGCCCAATTAAATATAGTTGTCAGCTGAAGGATTTCACTCGACCAAAGTTATACCCGGAATATAGATTAACTGTTTGCTTCGTCTCTTTTTTCGAACCCGAGATTAAGATGTTTTCGACGCATAAGCAGGCCTTGTGACCTTCGTAAACACTCTTTGGGGTCGTGACACACTTCTGCCCTAACCCCACATTGAAACTCATTCCAAACTGATCGGTAACGGTGTTTTAATCATGTTTTTCTTCAGGAACACGATAAACAGCTATTCCTTCTCGAAGAGCTTCAAAGACAAAAGTTAGAACTGGAACAGCAGAAACGAGAGTTTGAAGAACAACAACAGAGGGTGAAACAGGCGGAGTTACAGGTTAGTTGCGTGACTGGGCGACCTATGTCACGTAAGCCGGTTGTTTTTGTAGCACTGGTCACACGATATATAACACGAGTGTTTGTTAGCTTTTTGATTGGTAGAGAAATTTGTGAGAATCCAACAGTGCAATGTCTATGTAAAGAGACCAACGGGATTCAAACGTTTTAGCCAGCGAAGTATTGGCCATGTAATAATTCTTCTTTCGGGATTTAATTTTAGGAACAGCAGAAGGAGCTATACCGTCAAATCCAAGCACAGCAAGATCAGCTGAAAATGAACGAGGACAAGCTAGTGCAGCAACAACGATTTCTTTCAACCTACGAAAATATCCCCCCTCAATTCACCTATGCGCAGATTCCCCCTGTTATGCCCCAGATGCCCGTTATGCCCATTGCGGGTGTCCCCACCGGAGCCCCCGCCTACCTTCCAATGGGGGGCCTTCAACCGATGTACACACCGTACCCAACCGCGATGGCTCAACCCGGGGTGACACATGTGGTTCCTTCCGTGAACATGCCGTCGGTTTCAGCAACGCAGCCACCTAGCGCTGTAGTAGCTGACAATACAATCAGAATGTAGTTAAAGCCTGAAGAGAATTTTGTAGGAAGATGTCACGTAGTATACTCAATCGAGAATTATGCAAATTTACCAATCAAAGTTAGAATGCGGTCTATAACATACGCATGAAATTCGCGCCTAGTACAGCAGAATGTATATTTTTTGCACGTCATAGAGACGAGGTTAATTAAATCCAAAATGTAATCAAAACGCTCCCACCACCGTAAACAATTCCTTTAATTGTGATTTGATTGTGCATTCAAAACAAATGCGAATCTCTTAGGTGTAGGGGGAGGGGTCGCGTAAATCATATTTACGTTACTGACGAAGAACTAGTAAGGCGGATTCCGCTCAAAGTTCAAGCAATACATGCAAAAATTATTTACTAAAAGTCTGCTTATAGCTCTAACTTTTTGAATGCTCTTTGAAACCTCTCACTTTAATTCATTTTTCTAAGTGACCCCGCGATTAAATTCTCAAGCACTCTCGAGAAAGTTATTGTCAAACCTCGTGAGAATACTTATTAAAAGCGTGCGTTGTTGTGTTTTGAACTGACGTGAAATTATTAAAATATGGATAACATCAAATTCAGTTTTCCCTCACGGGGTCAGCCCGAGAGCTTAAGTCTTGATAAGGTCTTCTTAACTGTATTCTATAATATTGCCATAGTTTTTTGGTAACTTTATTTTTGCCATTATTGCTCGAATGTTCAGCGGAAATCATGTTAAATATACAGGCTCTTGCTCACTCGTGGAGCTCCTTGCATTCAATTGTCATTCATCTTCGTTGTAGTTTCCATTCGTTGTAGTTTCAGCCCGTGCGTACCAACCTGTAATATTACCAGTCACATGACAAGACTACGGGGATAAGTCGGGTTCAAAATGGAGGATTTGATGCAGTTGAATCTCCCATACGGGACCCTGACACTAGCCCATACGGGAATTCCACGGTGTCCCCTTACTGGAGGGTGCACAAACGTAGGGTTCTTTTATAGTGGTTTTAAGCTTCGATTGTAAGCCTTTCTCGTCCCTTTGAAAGGAGCTATGTCGCAACAGCATTAAGGTATGATTTGCTATGTTCAGAGTTGCTTTCAAATCTCTGGAGGCCTCAAAATTATAGTGAACGAATTTTGAATTTGCGCATTCTTTGACATAACTTTTTTAAGTCGCTTCAAGTAAGTCTCTTTAAATCTTACTCAACTTCTATGCTTAGCACTTTGTACTTGCGCCAGCTTAAACGCCTTTCATGCTTACATATTGAAATAGACGAAGTAACCAAGCCTTTTCGAGCTGTCTGGGTCCTTGTTCAGAGTTAGCTGTTTGTTGGAAATCGGGATGCGCAAAAGGTATGAGTGAATATTGATATAAATTAAAATTTAAGTCGTCATGGCTGTCTTCTTAGCCTGCTTGCAGGCGTTCTTTTCTATTTCCTTGCAAGGGGAAAAACAACAGTTTGAGACGTGCCCTCGCAGGGTATCTTTTCCAGACGAAATGAAAACGTGTCCACTTCGTTCAAGTTTAACATTGACGTCAAAGAACTCTACGCAGCCGTGCATATTTCCCGCTAGTCTAAGCCTCGACACCAGGTAAGGCTTGGTTACAAAGAAGAATTAACTTTATATTTTTGTATGGTTTATTGAAGTGCAGTGAATGGCTCTGCTTTTGTACAGTAGGATTTATAAGGTTTTGTGTAGCTTAATTTGTATAGGAGGGTGGAGATTGTAGAGGGATTGCTTGCTGTGGGTATACGGATCAATTGTAAACTTCAACACTCAAGTAGGTCAAAATGATATTTTACAGCAACTGCAGAAATTCTCGCGCGCTCATTACCTAATTTTATTGTCAATAAGCGGAAAGATACATGAATTTATAATTCATGCAATGCGTCAACGAGCGAGAGCGGACAATTTGACAATTATTGTAAAATTTGTGAAATAAATTGCAATGTCGAAATTCAAAGTAGAGCGTGGCACTTTCTTTTTGTAGGGATTGCTTTTCTTTTGTAAAACAGTTAAAGAGGGAAGGGCAGTTTTCAAGTGGAACTAATTTATAGTTTTCAGTTTTTTCCAAGCCTATTTCTGGTGATGTGGATGTTTCCATTTGATCTGTTCCCTTCGTTCCAACGTTTTGGTTTCTATAAAGTATATTTATGTAAAATGTAGAGGATATCATGTTACGTGGGAGAGACTATATGTTGTAGCTAGATAAACAAGATTGATTTATCAAAGGGGCAAAATTTTATTCAACGCTGCATGGTCTAAGGTGGGCCATTGTAATCAAGCGAAATACCACATTCAGAACTTACACGTTAGGGAGCTTAAGCGAGGACTACGCCTGATAAAAAATGAATTTTTATTTTACCAGTGAAGTTCACGATTGTCTCAGTACGCCAATGGCTCTAAAAATGTGCCCAGGCTCGATATGCAATGACAGCGTTCAGTTCCAAATGGATATACGAAAAATTAGCCGCCGTCATTCGCGTTCCGCAGACTACGTTCAACTTGGTCATTTCCCGTTCTTGTTTTGCAGAGGACGGCAAAGAAAATTACAAAGATTCACAACGCATGTGCACTGCTATTGTTTTGCTGATAACATTTTGTTTGGTCATTTTGTTTCGTTGCCATCGTCTTCGTGGTTTGCTTAGGCCCTCTGCTTTTACATCTCTGACGCTCTGCGGCAGAAATATAAAATACTTGAGATTTTTAGTGACCACGAGTGCAGCAGCTACTAGAACGTCGCTGCATGAACAAAGTTCGTTGATCGGCTTTCGGGCACGTGCATTATGCATTCTGCTAATACGACTCACGGAGCACTTCTAAAACAATGTAAAATGGCCAAATTCTGTAATGAAAAAGGAGAACCACGATTGAATTTTCTTTTTTTTCTCTTTTTATGACCTGCAAACCGAATTGATCTAAACAATATAGAAGTGACGGATATCCAAGTCAAAATATAAAATCATTCTTCATCTGACTGTGGTCATTGCTTCAATTCCTATTGGCCCGTCATAAGACTTCTCCGCAACGCGTAATTTTTGAGTAGGGTTAATTATGTTTAATGCCAATACATGAACATTTAATGTTTTGTAATTGTAATTACCTCAGTAATGAAAAAAAAAGTAAGAGTGACTGTGTGACGCTGGTACAAGCGTTTTTCAAGTCGATGGTTGTGGGATCTTGCAAGTGTAAATTATTTTTCAAAGTGTGTATAACGTCTGAATCCTTGTAGTAATTTTAGTGACTGAAATAAATTTACTTCGTACTTGCAATCTGTTTGTCGTAACATCAATGTCTTCTTACTGTCTTAAAGCGTTTCGAGTTTTTCGCGTCTTACGTAAACGGACACGACACGCTATGGCCCCGTCCACACTAACCTTGAAAAATATGAAAACGACGTTTTCGCGCATCAGATGTTTTCCGTCCACACTACGCCACACTTGTGTTTGAGGAAAACACGGTTAGGGAAATCTCAAGATTATCGTGACGTCATCGTTTTCGAAAAGCTTCGTTTTCAAAAAGTTTTCCGTTCACACTAAAACGCAAAATCGGCGTTTTCGAATTCTTCCGGCTTGAAAAGCGTTTTCGAAAAGCTCCGTTTTCAAAAAGTTTTCCGTCCACACTAAAACGCACAGTCGGCCTTTTTAAATTCCTCCGGTTTGAAAAGCGTCTTCGAAAAGCCCCGTTTTCGTGACAGATAAGTGAAGACGTTAGGCCTAACCGTAGAAACGACGCTGCGTTTTCAAATTTCTTCGGTGTAGTGTGGACGCTGCCTTAAACGCAAACTCAAAGGCGAATGAAATGCTTGAGGCTTGTGTATCATGCACTGGCTCAGTGTTTGTATGTGCGTGAATTTAGTTCTCTTGTTCTCTAACAATTGAATTTAATTAGAAGCGCTGATACCTGCTTCGATTGCTCCAGTTGTCGAACCTTCTTTGCTTCTGTTATATGGCTTTTGCTTGTTTAGCCCCCTTATGTCTATGCTCCGTTACCCTAAAGAAGGATATTCGTTGAGTTAATTCAAGAGACGACGATCTCTCGGTTACTCGTTATAAGATCTTTCTTGTCATGCTAGGCTGCTGGCAGTCAGGCGTTTCTCTTTAGGTCAGGCGAGTGTCGCACCCACGTCTTGTGCGGCCCAGTCCCTTCTAATCTGAAATGAATCGCCTCGTAATCCCCGCTTATTTCGAGAGAAAATCAGACTGCCAACAGGTTATTGTCAAGTAGCTTCGGTTGACATGTTCATTTATTTACTTTATGTTCCTCGCGGTTTCTTATTTTCTCTATAAGGTCCCCAGGTTCTTTTGTGAAACCAACAACGTAGAGTACGCAAAATAAGATTTCATTACAGATTCAAATTAATGATCACAAAATGTCCGAAAAATTTCAAATTGGTCATCGAGTTTCTTCTCTGAGAAGGTTTAGGATCACAGAGATCGAAAGCCTGGGCAGAAAAAGCACGGCATAAAAGTGACATCATAACACGAGACAAGGCACTTTCCAGCCAACTAAAAGTTCTGATTTAAATTTGAGGAAATTTTCAGTGACGAATGGAACATCATTTTCCTGAACTTCCGGAAAAGAGGACAATCTCGAGAGGTGTACCGAAATTTTTTAATTGTATCTTTTCGTTCTATTTGATTTTCCTCGTTGAATTCTATCATTTCGGAAAATAACAGTTTTCGAATTTGCCGGAACCTTTCCAAGGAAATTTCCGTACCATTTGCACACGTTCCGGAAGTTTTGGTTAAGTGCCATGGACGCTAGAGATTTGAAAAGAAAATTCCAAAGCGATGATAGCACCTTGATGTATGTGCTAAAAATAGAAGCATTGCAAATACCTTATGAGGCTACTCGGATCTCTGACGTGTACGTCATTCAGCTCACAACTTTGACCTCTCTCGAGTGTTAAGAGCCAGCCAGGCTGATAAGAAGCTGTCTATTTTAAATCAGAAAATCATGGCATACAATGTTGTGTTCGGACTAGACAGTTTCAAATTGCGTGTAACTGACAAATGGGCTGCCTGAAACAAGTTATATCAATAACGCGAAACCAGCTTGTTTGCATTCAACCTGTTGAACACTGCTTGGTAATTGGCGATTTCTTGTGCCACCAGCTAACTCATTTGCATTTGCTGCATGAATCGTGACGAATCTGCAGAGTTAATTCTGCACGGTAGAAATAACAGAATGGAGCCGTCGCTATTTCGTTGTGGTGGTATGTTGAGCTGTTAATGGAGCTTCTCTGGAATTCGTTGTGACTTGCAAAACTGTGTCTGTAACGATTTCAGAATACAACAGTAGTACAAGCCACATCTACGATTAATGGGAAACTGCTTGACAAGAAATGAAGGGACCAGCACGGACTTAAGACCCGATATCGGAACCTCGCAGATAGATATCTCATGGCCGGATGACTTCGAGGATATAGGACCTGCTAATCTTCCCGATGTCTTCGTCGAAAATGATAAACTAACTCTGAATTTGAGTTTCTGGAAGTTGAAGTCACTACCAGCACAGGTTTGTGAGAGACGGACCATCGAAGTGCTCAATCTCAATTGCAATAAGATTTCGACTTTCCCTTATCAATTTGCAGCACTTCGCAATCTCAAGGAGCTTCACCTCGGAAATAATTATTTAGAGTTTCTTCCCGCTCAGGTGTGTACCTCGGTCAAATTAGAAGTCTTGGAACTGAATCGAAATCTCATCGAAACTCTGCCATATTGTGTTAGTCACCTGTGCTACCTTCGAAGGCTAAATCTAGCCTTCAACAACATTAAGAGCCTTCCTCCTAGTATGCGTTACCTAAAGTGCCTGGAGTATCTAAACATGGAAGGAAATGCCCTTGAAAATATTCCCGAAGCTGTTTTCACATTATCAAGTCTTAAGGTTTTGGTTTTGAGTGACAATGACATCGAGTCTATTCCAACTAGCTTGGAAAAACTCGTCCATTTGAAGGAGCTTTATTTGGACGACAACAAGTTATCGGAACTTCCAGCTGCACTGCTGCAGTTTCTGTCCGAGCTTGAGACCCTAAACGTAAGTAACAACGCCAAACTTTTAACTCTGTGCAAAAGTGAAAAGCCCAAGAAGCAAGTCAAGCAGAAGTTAAACAATGTAGATCCAAATGCGATTGCAGAAGTCCAAAAATCCTTTCCCATCCCTCCTGAAACTAGCACGGCAGTGGCCGAGGATCGTTCTATGATATTTTCGGAAATTAATCTCAACGACCCTGTAGAGGAGAGGGACATATTTGAAGGAGGACAAGGACTTTGTTGCTTGAAATCTGAAGACGCAAATCCTAACACAGCTGAGGTTGTGAAGCGCAAGGCCCATGAAACCACAACAAGGGTTGGCGAGGCTATGCGCCCATCACCCAAGTGGGGTATACTCGTCCGTGAGCTCAAGAAAGCAGGGTTTCTACCAACGGTTAATGTACAGCTTCCGAAACGTCCGAGAAAGGAAAAGCCAGTCAAAATAAAGACTCAAGGGTCACGCTACACATGGAGAGGATGGCGTGTGGATGCCCATTCTGCTTCTGCTTCCCAGCAAGACGCGTCGTTGGCTTCTTCCTTTGATGACGAAATGGACGAGTTTGGGCATCCACTCAGCATCCGCCAAATTCTTCCTGCAGTCAGAAGGGTCGGAGGGAGGCTAACTCTTGATCTTAGTTGGCATGAGCTCAAATATGTCTCTCCAACCGTGTGTGAGTTGGTGAATCTCAACACGCTTGTCCTTGACTACAACGAAGTTGATGAGTTGCCTTTTGGAATCGGCAAGCTTTCCAGGTTGCGCATTGTAAGTTTGAATTATAACAAGCTTGCTTATCTTCCGGAGAATTTGCGATTTCTCGACAATCTCAGACGCTTGTATCTAAACGGCAATCATTTACGAACGTTTCCAGATTGGTTTGAAAGTTTCCAACAGCTCACCTATCTCTCTGTAGAAAACAATGGAATGCCATTCTTTCCCAGTGCAATCTGCTCCTTGGTCAATCTGGAATACCTTTTCCTTGCTGGAAACAAGATAAAGGAATTGCCTGACAAGATTAAACAACTAAGACATCTGAGGGAATTGTTTTTAGGGCGGAACACTATTCACACTATTCCATATGCCTTTGCGGAACTGGATTCATTGCGCGTATTGTGTCTAGACAACAATGGCCTTGAGACGATCCCATTCTCCGTCGTGAGTTTGCTGGAATTACAAATATTGAACCTCAATGGCAATGCCCTAACGTCGGTGCCTGATAGTATCACTAACCTTCGTAACTTAGAAGAACTCGATTTGGGAAAGAACAACATCAGAAACCTGCCATTTTGGTTCCATCGCCTTCAGATCCTTCAAGTGTTGTCTCTAAATTGCAATGGAATGGGCACCTTTCCAGAAGTGCTTTGTAAACTACCAAATCTCCATTCACTTGACTTCGGTCAAAACGAGATAACGGAACTCCCAGATTTTCTGCGAAGCAGTATCGGAGAAATGACTGACTTGGAACAGCTGGACCTGTCCAACAACCATCTCAAATGGCTGCCAGATAATTTCAGGAACCTGAGGAATTTGGAAATCCTTCACATCGAAGGTAATCTTTTTACGGAACTTCCAGGAAGTATTGGCGAACTTGTGAATCTTCGTAAACTTTATGTGGATAAAACTATCAAGATTCCGCACGAAGTATTCCAACTTTCTAAACTGGAAATTCTCTGATCTTGCTACGAATTGAACAGCAAGGGTTTGCTGTCGCGGCGACTCTCGCACCCAAATCTCACTCTGTTTGACGTGGGAGATCTACGTTCGAGATTAGCTGGGTGGCTTTTTCAAGTGAAATCTTCAAAGGCTAACACCGCATTGTTGCTGAAATCTATAGAGTTTTTGAGTTATAATTGTGGACTACCATTCGGCCTGCCTAAAAGTTTATCTCAGTGGCCCATCCATTTGTGTTCAGCCATTTTCTATGTTCAAAGATTTTGTGGAATAATTGTGGAAGGGATTGTCCAGCAAATTAATACATTTTAATTGAAAAAAGATCTAAAAGTTTTCAGAATAAAGAAATGGATCACCCTGTTAGTTTTCTTTTCCCGTGCACGACGCAAAATGTAACGCAACTGAAGGTAGTTTTCGGAGTAATTATGAAATGCCATTTCAATATTCGAAGAGATTTGTTGTCACGCGGGTGTCACGCCAGTACACGATCTCGGAGGTATTGTAATTACCATATCGATTGTCTTTTGCTCGTCACGCAATAGCCTTTCTTTAATTTATGCGTGACGATTCCAAGAGTCTTATGCCAGCTGCCTAAGAGATATCTGGGATATATGTGAACAGGAGCCTATCAATATCACCGACTGGCTCCTAATAGGAGTCACTCTTGTTACAGTTGTTGAAATTAAATTATCTCGACGCTGGTGCCCCGGACTGGTGCGAACATACATTTATTTTCAGTTTCACTTAATACTTACACCCCGCGTTCACTGGTATTTATGAGGCTAGAAATTTCAGACTAGAAGGGTTGGGGATGAGACATCGGTAAGGCAGTCAAACCCCTTTTTGTCCATATTGACCTATATGCATTCTTGTTCAGGGATAAACACCCTAGGAGAGAAAGACTGGCTGGCAACAGTGTAAACGAACTTTTAAAACGAGCGTTGATGTTTTCGTCTAGACATAAATTAAACATGTCAATCATTCTTGGACAATATCCAACACAGGAACCAATCAGGGAGCGGTGTAAATGCAGCCGGACGCGTCACAAAATCCTCGATATAGTGTTTACACCGGCGCTAAGGATTAGGATTATTCGATCAATCGTAGACCCCGGGCGCAGACCATTTTAATTTTAGGCCTAAGAACTGTTTGTGAACGATGCTTGCTGTTTGAAATGGAAATCTTAGAAAACAAAAAGAAAAATACCTACGCAAAAGATGTACAAAATGACTGAGAAATCGAGGGGTGCCTCTCGATGATATAAACAGAAACAGCTCATCAATGTGGAAAAACACTTGGCAAGAACTGCAGCAGAAAGATAGCCCGGTGGTTCAAAAGCCGACGAAAGTTTAAACACCCACCGCGCGCCCCGTCACCCGCCCCCC